TACTAACTACTGGAGTGGGATTGTGATTATACCATTTTTCTTCCACTGCGATCCCAAAGCTTATACAGATGGCATGATGCAGTATATGCATATTTTATTATGTCGGACCAAGTACTCGTGCTTCGCCAGTTGAGGACAGCCGGATATAGATGATCTATTGTTTCTGAGTATTGTTTGCACATTCGACATCTATCATTTGCTGTTATTTTGAGGATATGTTTCTCATAATGTCTTGTACGTAAGGCCTGGTCTTGGGCGGCCGTTATCAGGGCCTCTGTTTCACCTTTTACCTTCCCTCTCGTGAGCCACGCAACGTTTGGCATTCATTAATCCCTGGCCTCTTAATTCTCTTCACGTATTGACCATGAAGCTGCTTTCGTATCCATTTATCCTTCAAGGTATTCCTTGTCATGGCCTTAATATCTGTAGACAGTAATTCTTCTTCATCCTCGACCGCTTGATTTTCTATTTCCGGTAAATGTGTCTTTACAATTTTTATCGCTGACTTGACTACTGACTTTCCAACTCGAGGGTGCCTTTCACATCTCCAAATTTGTCTAACTAACTTATCATTTCTACGGCTTCTTAAATAATTGGCTATGGATACAACTGTATTATCATAAGTCATCTCTAATTGCCTGAGTCCTCTACCTCCTTCTTTACGACTCACATATAGCCTGTCTACATCAGCTCTAGGATGCAGCTGTCCATGAATAGTAAGCATCTTCCTTGTTTTACGATCTAGGTCTGCAATTTCCTTCTGACTCCAATCTATGATTCCAAAACTGTATTCTACTATTGGAACAGCTATACTGTTGATGGCTAGCAGTTTATTTCGTGCTGTTAAGTCTGAACGTAAGTACCATCCTAAGCCTTCTTAGATATTCTTTACTGATGGTCTCTTTCATTTCATCATTACACAATTCTGGGTTTTCATAAACTCCAAGATATTTATAGCTTTCTCCAGCATCTAGGTTTTTGATGGTAATATTTGCCTGGACTGTTATGTTTTCCGTTTTTTCCACTTTTCCGTTCTTTATTGTCGCTTTGGCCGCACTTATCTAATCCGAAGTTCATATGAATTGTGCTACTGAAGTCGTGAACTATCTTAATTTGCTCTTCAAGCGCTGTGTCCGAACTCGCGTATAGCTTTAAATCATCCATGTACAGAAGATGTGTTGTTGGCGCTCATCTTTGAGTAGTTTATATCCCAATTTTGGCTTTTGATTTTAGCATTCTGGACAGGGGGTACAATCATCATGCAGAACAGGAGAGGTGATAGTGAATCTCCTTGGAATATTCCAGATTCGATTTTAATCTGCGGGGTATTATTGATAGGTGCATCCTTAGATTGTATCTTTAGCTGGGTGTTCCATTCCTTCATACTTTTTTCACACAGATTGATGATGTTTGGGTCAATTTTGAATATTTTAAGTATTTTCAATATCCACTGGTGTGGTACGCTATCGTAAGCTTTTGATAATCTATCCAGCATAATGATAGATTTTTCTTTTTACTGTGTACGTCCTTCATTATCTTTTTGTTATATAATAGTAGATCTTTACATCCGTATGAACCTTTGCAGCATCCTCGTTGCTCAGCTGGAATCAACTGTTGAGCTATTAGGTGGTCATATATACGAGACGACATTATCCCAGTTAGTAATTTGTACAGTACGGATAAACAAGTAATGGGTCTGTAATTTTCTGGCTTAGAAGGGTCTCCTTTCTTGTAAATAAGATACGTGATGCCACTATTCATCCACGTGGGCAGATCTTCTTCTCCTTTTAGTATTTTTGTTAAGATTACCGCTATTGTTTTATGGGTGGCACTTATCTTCTTTAACCAGTAATTATGGATTCTGTCAAGCCCACCGGCTTTCCAGTTGGCAGCTTTACTGAGTACATCCTTTATTTCCTTCTCCGTGATGCTTTCACCGGTCGTCATGCGTTCTAGGTGCTGATAACTGTCAATAGTTTCCTTCATCCATTCCGTGTTCTCGTCGATAATTTCCTTCCTGCGCCAGATTTCCGACCAATAGTGTACTACATCTGTCTCTCCCGGCACGTCTTGCGGTGTCTCAGCTTTTCCATTAAGTTCTTGGTATAACCTTCTGGTGTCATATTGGAATAAATAATTCTGTCTGCGGAAATGCGACTCTTTTATTATATCGCTTTCTACGTTGGGCGTAAGCCTGTATCTTTTGTTTTAGTTGTTCTTCTACTCTTACCCGGTCTTCTAAATTGTTTATGGTGTATCGACATTTCAATTGTTCTAACTTTCTTCTTGTTGCATTTCTCAATTTTGAGTTATCTTCTTCATGGAGGATTGAGAGATCGGATCTGAGTTTTGAGATCTTGGCCTCTATTCGCTTCTCCCAGGGGGCAGAAGTCTCGGTGTATCTATTTTGTAGGTGTCTGATTGGTTTCTTCAGTTAATTTTGATGTGGGCTTACTTTCATTGTTACTATTTTTGCTGTCGCATACAATAGGTGTTAACCTCCGTAATATTTTCAATCAGTGTTTCTTCCAAGATTTGTGAAACTGCTTCGTTTGCTTGTTTTACTATCATCTTTAGTTTCATGTTATCTTGGAGTTTGGTAGTTTCAGTCTCTCGTTTATGGGTGAAGATTTCGTAGAAACGTATTCTTCGAGAATCTCCTGTTTGATAGTATTATCTGTTTGATCTTCACTCATATCTTCTGTATCCGGCTCAGTTGTCACTTGAGTCCAACTCACGTTGCTCTCTCACTTCGATCCGTATTGCTTCGCTTACTTTACTTTTCATCGCTCTTATCATATTTTCATTAAATTTTCCGCTGTCAGTAGATATCTGCGCTTGCGTTGCGAGCTTCTTGGAATCCATGTACGGTCTGCTATTAGGATTCCTACTTCTCCACATGTTATAAACCTCTGCTTCGCCTATTGATTGCTTTGCATTGGTATAGTGGTAACACCACATCAGTTCGTTAATTTCTTCATAACTCCAAGGCCTTTTAGTAAGTTGATTTATTCGATTCTCCTTAGAGCGTTGTTCAAGTGATGCTGGGCTCTGACCATGTTCATCAGGGTAACCAGCAGCTCTTTCCGGATGGTTTTCTGTGATCGTTATGGTGTTGAGTCCGGTTTGAAGGGTCCTTTGTGTTACTGATCTAGTGGCGTATGTTGCATTTGCCTGTGTTACCACAGCTGCGTAGTCTTGGTTTGGTCCATTCTCGTTCCTTTGTCTATAGCCTAGGGTGCTGTTAATCCGGGAGATGCGCCACCCATCACACCTTCACTCCCTTCAGGCTGAGCATCACGACGGTTCCGAAGAAGGGACCAGCCTCAATCACCTTCCCGCCTCGTAGTTTCGTCTTACTTCTCGTATTCATTTACAGTTAATTATTTTTCACATTGCCTCCGAACAATGGTGCAGCTCAGGGTTTGGCAGAATAAGAAGACTACCAATCCCGAACTCCCCGTCTAGGGCCGTGGGGGCGACGCTCCCCATGTACCTTCCCTTAAGCCCGGGTCGTAGACCCGACCTTAAAAGTAGATACCCCCTGCGGGGTTATTATTATTATTATTATTATTATTATTATTATTATTATTATTATTATTATTATTATTATTATTATTATTATTATTATTATTATTATTATTATTATTATTATTATTATTATTATTATTATTATTATTATTATTATTATTATTATTATTATTATTATTATTATTATTATTATTATTATTATTATACACAGGCTCGCATCTTAAGGGGGGTCTTCTATGTAACATATTTGAGGGCTTCATTAAAAAGATACGGGGTTGAAGTTTTAAAAATAAAAAACAATTTTTCTTAATATCTTGAAAACCGTCAACTGGAATGAACTAAATTTGGTATGTGGATTTACCTAAGCATTGTCCACATTCAAAATTAACGCGCACTAGTGGCGGAGATACAAGGGATTAGTGGCATTATTTTTCCGAATAAAAATAGTACGCTACTGTTCTTTTTTTCGAAACGCGCAAGTTTTTGAATTTTACCCTCAATTAAGTTTTGTCCTAGAGTGCATTGTTTTTGTAAAAATAAAAATAAAACAAATTAGATAATCAGAGCTTTATTTCAAAAATATTCAAAAAGACAACCATTCTGATGGATACAAGTGCATCTTTTTAATAAAGAATAAACTATTTCCGAAAAATCTGTTGTGGTTGAATTTGATGAAACACTTTATCTATTCTTTCTTGTAACTGATCAACAGTATTAAGTTGTTCAGCATATTGCCGAAGTCTTGGAAATGAGCGCGTAAGAACCTTGGCGTCTGTTAACATTCAAAAATTGAAAAACGAAACTTTTGACTTGACTTTTGCAAAAAAAAAGGTAATAGTAACGATAACAACCGAATAACACATAACTTTGACAACCTATCTCCAAAGAAACGTTATCAAGGCCTCCTATTCTATTTTAAAACTAATTGTATCTCGGCTCTTCATGAATGATATGATTTGTGTTGTTTTTATTTTTACGAAGACAGTGCACTCTAGGAAAAAACACAAGAATTGAAGGGAAAATTCGAAAAATCGCGCGTTTTGGAAAAAAATCAGTGGCGTACTATTTCTATTTGGAAAAATAATGCCACTAATCCCCTGCGTTAATTTTAAGTAAAGACTTTGAATGTGGACAATACTTGGGTTAATCCACATACCAAATTTTAGTGCATTCCAGTTGATGGTTTTGAAGATATCCAAAAATGTTTAAACTTCAACTTAAACTTCTTTTAATGAAGCCTTCGGTGGAAAAAGTGTTACATAGACCCCCTTAAGATGCGGTCCTGTGTATGATGCTTCCATTCTGGTCATGACTTGTGAATCACCCTATATATAAATTTCGGTCTCACGAAAAGTAGCATCATCACCTGTTTCATTCCCCACAAGCTATTTGGTTAACTCTCAGAAGTTAATGACAGTAGCAATTCATCTTCTTATATATAATTTTCGGAGTCATGAAAAGTAGCATAATCACCTGTTTCGCAGTTCCTCCATGGCTTTGAGTCTGTCATTGGCCAAAGACATCCACCTCACGTTCTCTTCTCTGCTGGATTGAAGTTGGGCTTCCAAGCTTGATATCTTGGTATGCAACTCTGAGGTGTGCTTTTCCAGTGCATGCACCTGTGAAATATACTGTTCCAAAGCAGCTCTATTGGGTTGCTGTTTTGCAAATGTCTCTTTCTGACTAAAAATTTATAAGATCAAAATAGGCACACGAATATATTATCTAACATAACCCTCAAGGGTACCTTTCATTCTTATGCTTTTCCTCCAGAAGGCAGGCTTTCAGCTTTTGTAGCTCTTCTTGCAAACTTGCAGCTGCTAAACTATGCTTGTCTCTGTCGACTTTCAATAGCGTTTGATACTTTATAATTTCTTCATCTTTTGAACTTAGTCTGTCTTGAAGATCCTTTATAGAACCCTTGAAGCATGTAGCATGTTAATGAATATCAAAGCGTACATTACTGCAACTAGTTAAATACGATCAGAGCTGATTCGTTGAGTATTGTAATTAAAAACATTTGAGGTTTATATGAAAGGACCTTTCATCAGGACCTTACAACGATCAATATAAAACAATTTCAAAAACGAAAAACCACATATATCTTGACATACCTTCAGCGCTATAAGTTCATTCTGTAATTGAGTTCGGTGCCAACAGAAATATTGTCACCTCCGGCACCACCACTAGAATTCATTATTTCATCCTTCTTGTTTTGCAATTCCACGATGTGTCTCTCATAAAAACTAATTTGACTTTGCTTGTCTCCGATTTGCTTCCTGAATAGATTAATCGCCATCTCATTCTCACTGGTTATCGTAATAATAGAAATTTATTAATCCTAGAAATATAATCTACGTCCGCGGTTCGTGCGGCCCAACGATATTTGGTTTTTACCCTTTGCTATCAATCGCAGCCTACTAGCTGCTTGAGCTAACTCAGCAGGCGACTGGAGCTCGCGGTAAAAACTCTTGATTATCATTATGTATATTGCTATGCCATAACTCCGCGAGACGTATGATTATCTTTCATTAAACATAAGTTGTTTGGAGAGATTGCTTATTTGTTATTCATTATTATTTATCTGATAGCGAACCGAAGGGTTCTAAATCATACCCAAATTGAAGAATTTCTTAATGAAAGTGAAGGAATTTCGTTATCAGAATGTGGAATTGAAGTTGAAGACAACGTCTCAGGAGATGACGTGCAGGGTGGTACTGAAGTTAAATTGGTCAAAGAAGCTGAAGATCCATCAAGTCTGTTCCAAATGATGGTGAAAAATCATAACGCTAAGTGGCCACCTACAAAAAAATATTATTCGTATTGTTCATATGGGTTGGACAGTCAGATTGTGTTCAAGAGTTGACCTACTCACGAAACGGCTTGAAGACTTGCAGATTCCAATTCCGATCTCAGAAGATACATTTTGAGCCAGGGATTTTGTGTTAAACTATATACAGGGTGTTCCTTAATGATATGCGAATGTTTAAGGGTGTCAATCTACATGAAAAATAATGTTAGTTTGCTTTATAAACTATGGTCCAAAAATGTTTCCTTACAAAACTCGGTGTGCTGAAGTTTCAGGAAAATGGAAATTAATTAATATTTTTACTGATCTTTTTTGCCAAATAACATTTTTTGATTCCTCGTTCAATTTAAAACAAATAACCACTCTTGAATTGTTTCACTTTGATGTGCCATTTTTGACTAAAAAATAAAAACCGTTCTATTGTCCGAGAAAATTTATGTAATGATTGAAGAATGAATTTAGCAATAAATATCTAGTTGCTCTGGAATATGTCACTGGCCTTTGACATCTGACAAGTCTCTGCTATTCAAATCTGTTCGATGTGACATCTTTTTCATTATTTAGTTTTTACAGTCTTGTTAATAATGGTGAAATATTCAAATGCAGAAATGGCGGAAATGCATTACGTGTATGGCCTTGCCGACGGTTATCACCAGAGATATCCCGATCGAGCTTTGCCAGATAGTCGAACCTTTTCTAATATTCATCGTCATTGAAACTGGTTCTGTCCGAAAAGGAACATCTGAAAGTAGACTTCTATGTGTGAGAACACCTAAAATTGAGGAAGCAGTGCTGTCGAAGAAACATCCTGAAACGAGTACGAGGAAGATCGCTAGACACTTAAATATTTGCCACCAAATTGTTTGGAGAATTTTAGTGGATTTTTTGTTATATCCTTAACATATTGTAAGAGTACAGGCATTACTTCCCATTGATTTTCCAAGGCGTGTGACCTTTTGTCAGTGGTATCTTCAAAACATTACACAGAATCCGTAATTTGAATCGATGATTCTGTTCACGGGCGAAGCTAATTTTTCTCGAAATGCCATTCAGAATTTCCACAATAATCATTTGTGGGCGGAATAAAATCCCTATGTCGTAACCGAAACCCATTTTCCAACACCAATTTTCGGTTAACGTATGGGCAGGAAATTAGTGGCACCACTTTATTGGCCCATTCTTCTTGCCGGGACGACTTGACGGACAGACTCACCTGAATTTTCTTCAACAACAGTTGCCTTTGCTGCTTGATGATGTTCCGTTAGTAATAAGAAACAATATGTGGTACATGCATGATGGTGCACCAGAGCATTTCAGTGTAGCGGTTCGTGATTATTTACAAACTCTTATCCAAATCGTTGGTTTGTCCGCGGTGGGCCCCAAGAATCGCCACCAAGGTCCCCAGACTCCAACAGTTTAGATTTATTTTTGTGGGGCTATCTTAAGACACTAGTGTACACAAGTCCCATTAATACTGTAGAAGAATTAAGAGAAAGAATAGTTGCAGCTTGTGATAGAATAAAAACACTCTAAGGATATTCAACGAGTGTGCAATTACATAAGAAGGAGAGGGGAAGCATGCATACTAAGTGAAGGGGGCCATTTTAAACAATTTTTGTAATTATTCGTTGGTTTTAATGTTATGTTTATGTTGTCAGTTGTTGTTGTTCATTTCCCCTAATGTTTTTAATTTTTCCAATTAAATTAATAAGAATTTTGCAAGTTAGACGATAGAACCGTTTTTATTTTTTTACTCAAAAATGGCGCATCTAAGGAAAACAATCCAAAAGAAATCATTTGTTTTATATTGAACGGGGAATTCAAAAATAATTTTTATTTGGCCAAAAACTATTGGCGTATCATTTTTTTGTTAAAAAATGTGCAACTTTATTAACTTTCATTACGCACTAAATATCAGTGAAATATCTGAAGCGGTTCTGAAAATATTAATAAATTTCCATTCTTTCCTAAAACGTCAACATCCCGAGCTTTGTAAGGAAACATTTTTGGACCATAGTTTATAAAGCGAACTAACATTAATTTTTCATGTAGATTCACACCCTTAAATATTCGCATATCAATAAGGAACACCCTGTATACTCAGTGACACTAGGAGTGTTACCCCAGAATAAAATAATTGCTACAAACTTGATTTTTGGCAATGAGGGGTAGCCTTACATCCAGAATGAAACGATAACATTCTCACAAAATTTTATTGACAAGCAATAAGGAAATAAATTAATGTGTTGGGCGACCTCGAGTTGCTGCTCCTGTATACGTCTAGATATCAACAAAATGAGAAGTCTGGATGTGGCATCTCATTCCAAGCAAACTCGAACTTCGAGGATTAGCTGTGGCAGAGTTTGTGGCGGATGGTCAAAGGTGAATGGTCGCCTCCCATCATATCCCACACATGTTCGATGGGATTTAAATCCGGTGAGCGGAGTGGCCACGGCAAAATATTAACGCCTGCTTGCTGAAGAAAGTCCTTAGTAAGACAGACAATATGGGACGTGCGTCGTCTTGCTGAAAAGGGACGTGTGGACGGCCCACTAGGTACGGCAGTAAAGTAGTTTGTTGGACATTGCCTTGAGCAAAGAGAACAGGTGATCGGCTACAAAGGCAATAGCCTCCCAAACCATTATTCCAACTGTCCTGTGTTCATGCTTCTCAACAGCATATCCAATATCACGCCGTTCTCCACGGCGGCGTCTTACACTTCTACGGCCGTCGTGCGTTCCAAGGACAGAATCGCGATTCTCGGTGAAGATGACATTATGCCATCCTGCCTTCCAATGTTGCCGTTGTCGGCTCCACTTCAAACGTGGACGGTATTGAAAAAAGTCCAAAGGCTCGAATGTACGAATAGTAACAGGTCGACCTTCTTCTGCAAGCCATTGGTCAGCGACCTCACGCGTAGTAGCAAAACGGTCTCGTAGGGCTAGTTGTCTGAAGCGCCTATCAGTTGGCCTTCTGCGAGTTCCTCTACCTTCTTTTATCCACACACGACACACATGCATTACCGTCATTGCAGTACAACTAACACGGCGGCCAATTTCGCGATGGGACAAACTAACATCTCGATAGGCAATAATTCTACTCCTGCCAAATTTGGACATCTTCTCGAGCCACTTTGTTATGCTTAACACTAGTAAATGAAAGGGCAATAACTAAAAATATCTCTACTACTCAACTCTCAGGAACTGCCTTCAGCACAAAAACTAAGAGATAGATTTTGACAACGGTAAACAAAATCAAAGGTAAAACGTTGACATTGTTGCCATAGCATGCTTTAAATGTAATCATTATGTTGCCAAAAATCCAGTTGAAGGAATTATTTTTTCTGGATAACACTTCTAATGTCACTGAGTATATGTACGCACCGAATTGGTGCAAGACAAATAGGTAGCTTGCATCGCTGGAGCTGGATTATTCAATAACCAGTATGTCGGATAGTACAGTGTTAGTACAATGGGACGACAAACAAGTCAAGTGTGGCTTGAGCTTTGCCTCTCCACTACCCTACTACTACTCATATCGTTCATCCAAAATCGCAGAATCTCTAAGTTACCATGCATGAAGTGGAAAAGGCCTGTTTGTGGAGAACATAAAATGACTTGAGCACTTTACATCGAAAATTAAAAGTATTAATGGTAAGTTAAATGAAGTTAAAATGTGCCAATATTCAGATATGAAGACTAGAAGTCATTTCAAATGTTTAGTTTATAAATAAACTGTCTTGTGTTAATTTACAATGAAGCTTACAATTTTAGTTTGTCATTTGGAAATAAAAGTTTAACTTCTAATGCTAAATTGTCGTCTAATTTCTTGAAGTAGTATTTAAACAGTTATTTTAAATTGTAATGTACGTAAATGATCTGAATTACAAAGCTTGATTATTTCAAATAAATATGTCTGCTGGACGTATGATTACACTGATAAACACAGGATTTGTGACCTGAGAGTTTTTGGGTGTACCTTATGTATTTTGAGACCCTCAAAACAAATCTAAAAACAGAATCTTTCTATCACAAACAGATATTCGGTAACATCTACTTTCATGAATTACAATACCTAACATCTCATATTCCTGCATTTCTTGGCATTTATGCGATGACACACATATACAATATTAAGACCTGTCTATTCCTGTTTATTACAGGTATATGCGAGCTCGATGTTTAGAGACCATATTGCGTTTTCTGAATTGAAGGGTACTGAGATGTTCTGAGTACTGTCAATTTTTGTTAAAACGGTAAAAAAAATCCCAAAAACGTACTTTACTCCCCTTGTGTTGAATGCATACGAACTTTATTTTGGAATCAAATTTGGCGACCAAGATAAACTATGGGCCCCTCATATATGTTGTAAGACTTGTGTAACGTTGTTAACAGGTTGGCTAAGAGGCGACAATCGTAAAATGTCCTTTCCGGTACCATGGTTTGGAGAGAACTGAGAGACCATACTACTGGTTGATATTTTTGCCTCACAAATATTAAAGGTATCGGACCAAAATCGAAACATACTGTTAAGTGTTTTAATTTACCATCAGCTTTGCGGCCCGTTAAGCATAGTGATGGACTTTCTGTCCCAGTTCCACCAGAACCTTGGTCTTTGGATGAAAAACGTCGAATCCACCGATTCTGAAAGTGATGGTACAGAAAAGCGAAAAAAATTCCGATCCTTCGTTTTGACGTGCCAGAATGTTCAACAGCGCCGCATTTGATCACACAGGGCAGCTTAATGACTTAGTTCGAGAATTAAATCTGTCAAATCCCAGTCAGAACTTTTAGTGTCAAAATTAAAAAGATGGAATTTTCACCACGGTGATGTTAAAATTACTTTTTACCGAGTTGATATATTCTCCGATGCCAACAATATGTTGAAGCTTAGTTTAAAAGCGATATTGGTACACAACGGTAATAAACATCCATCTGTACCTATAGCGCACGCAGATCATATGAAGGAATCATATGAAAATATTGGAGTTCTGTTAGAGCATATACTAATGAGTATGGGTGGGCCTATGTGCAGATTTAAAGGTATTAGATCTTCTTCTTGGAATGCAACTGGGATATACCAAATATTGTTGTTTTCTTTATGAATGGGACAGTCGTGCGCGATATCATCATTATGAACAGGCAGGAGTGGCACTACGTCAGGTATTAACTTCGGGACTCAAAAACATTGTTCATGAGCCACTACTTGATCCCAAAAAAGTATTGCTTCCGCCTTTGCATATTAAGTTGGGACTGATGACAAGTTTGTTAAAGCTATGGATCGAAATGGAAGAGGTTTCATTCATTTGAATCAAACATTACCGAGACTTAGTGAGGAAAAAATTAAAGAGGGCATATTGTGGGTCCACAATATGAAAAATCATGAAGGGTATTTCAGTATTGAGTATTTGACATTTGCTCTAAATGAAACTGAATTACGAGCTTGGAATGCATTTAAATCGGTTACTGCAAATTTGTGAAGCAACGGGATGTAACATGTCCTCTAGAAACTCATTTTTGGATTGTCATCTCGATTTTTTCCGGAAAATTTAGATGCGGTAAGTGATGAACATGCTGAACGGTTCGACCAAACGTTTCTGCTATGGAAAAACGGTATCAAGGCAAATGGAGCGTCAAATTGCTTGCTCGTTATTGCTGGACATTGTTAAGAGATACTTCAGGAGCAACATATCTCCGTAAAACATCGACAGCACTCTGAGATTAATTATTTATAGTATAAGCAGCAAACAAAATGCCTTATTGCAATAAAATCGTGGGTGATATAAAAAACGAATGCTATTTCCGGCATTTTGGGTACTTTTTACATAATACCTTGGTTTGTCCATGTCACAAAAAAATTATTTTAATTTTGTTCACCAGTGTTATTTATCCAGTTATTAAATGATTATCTCTCTAGGGTTAAGGATAACAAATAATCTATGAATAGTCAAAGATCGATAGCTGCACAAAGAATCCATTAATGGTCAAAGCCAGCAAACCTTCTGATTGCAAGTAGCATTAGCGATAAGTTAAAATCAAAGCAACTAACCATATATGAAGCATCTGGAGTAAGTGCTTAATGTCACACATTCAATAATTAATAATACCAATCATGACTCACTTCATCTTACTCTTCAGCTGATCAATAACGTGTTCTTTCTCTTCAAAACCTCCTGCGCTCTCAGCAAATCACACTTAATGTTAACCAGCTCTTGTTTGTTATCCTTAACCGGAATCACTTCTAGATCTGTTTGTGTCTCAACAGATCTACTGTTTATTTTTGAGTATGTCTGATAAGCAGATTTCGTTTCTGGCTCTGTCAGAGCTTCTTTAGACACTGTATTAGTATCAACGGATTTGTGCAAAAAGTAGCACATCTTCATCCAGTTTTGCAATTTGTTCATCTTGAATCTTTATCTTTCTAAGAAATGCTGTATTTGAGACTCTTTAAATTCGGATTGGCGTTTATAGCGAAGTTCCTAGAAAATAAGAAAATACCTCTTGAAGAGGATGATCGAACAAAAAAAAAAGAGATGCTGAAGTACGCTGCTGTCAATTTATATCAGTTTTTCGAAAATATGCCCTTGCTGGAACTTCATTCTAAATTCATAATAATAATGTTGGAATGATATTGCTTTACCTAAACTCTCCCTCACCGGGATGCCATGGCGACGGAGTCAGTTTTGCAGCCATGGCCACTTCTGGATTCGATGGAGTAGCCACAGAGAGCTAACAGTGACAGAGTGATGACCTCATTTCGTCGTTTCAGAATGAAATTAGAAAGGTCATGACAATTATCATCTCATAGAGTAGAACATAATGAAGGAAACCAAAACGAAGAAACTTCGGGTGCATTCCTTCATCTCTGATAAAGACCGAGACAATTTTTTCAAATGCGACAAACACACATGATTTTTACATGTTTTCAAATGTTGCGATCATAGCCGCGATGACATCGATGACACTTCACAAATGTCACTAATATGACTCACTAACAAGTATTTTAATGACGTAGTTTATTGGCAACGTTGTAATCTCAGAGTCGCCAGCACGTAGCCATCGCCTCCCGGTGAAAGACGAGCTCTTACGCTAATTTGTAAATTTTTCTTTTCCTGCATCCACGTGATGGCCTCTTGATACTCCTTTTTATGTATTCCTGAAAGTAATTCTCTCTCTTTTTTAAATAATCCAAATCTAAGTTCAGTTTTTCTTTGAACACCTGTGCTTCATTTTCCAAACTTCTAGCTCTATGGAGAGCGAGGAAAGCTTCGTGTTTTTCTCTATTTATGATCCTCAGATTGCTGATGTAAGCTTCTTCCGATCTTAGAGGAACACAGCCCAGATACTGTATTTTCTGCATCTTCAATAGGTTCTGCAGGTGTCTATAGACAAAAATAATATCCTTATAAATTGAGAATAAAATTTCATTCAGCTAGTTAGAATTTTAATTAGGCCAATTAAAAAAAACTATCTGACAGCTGACAATTTTAATTAATTCAGTTAAACTCTGGTTTCTAAAAGAGTTTACTGGAATCTATGAAACTAGTTTAATTAAGCCAAAACGCATTTGTTCAGTTAAATTTAGTAAACCGTTTACTCAGATTGAGTACACCACTTCATTTAAAATTAGAGAAATATTAAAATGAGGTTACCTGCTCAAGTAAAACAATTTAGATATATTTATTAAATTTCTTTAATCAGATTAGGTAAATATATTTGCCCAGTTACTATGAATTATTTTATTTCGATTTAAAAGCATAACTGAATATTTGGGATGTAAAAGAACAAATTGCGTTTTACTGAATGATGCATAACTGTGCTCTAACAAAACTTAGACATCAAAAAACTTGAGATACTTGATATTGATAGTTAATGTTTTCGAATCAAAGTAAAAACTTTCGAACGTTATAACCGTAACAACTTATTATATATGATAGTCATTATTTCAATGGTTGATAGAGGGGGTTAAAAGACGCAAAAAGTTTCATATAACATGGGGGTCAAACCGAGGTCAATCCATCGGATTGAGATCAGAAGATCTTGCTGGCCATTTTCGAGGATCAGGATCCAGCGACTTGGATAATGTGTAAATGTGTGGTGGTGCCCCGTCATGAAGAAACCACAAATTTTGTCTTCGTTGTAATGGTATATTGTCTAAGGTCTGTTGCAAAGGTTCTGGTAGGTTATTGGCTAGAAAGCTAAGGTATCCTACTCCTGAGAACTTTGGGGGTAACTCGGAAGGGCCAGTTACCTGATCGTGAAGAATACCCTCCCAAACATGTATTTCAAAACGTTGTTGGAAATGACCTTGACGAATGGTATGAGAATTTTGTTGGGCCCACATGGGAGTATTATGTAAATTTAATATCCCGTCTCGCGTAAAAGTACATTCGTCCCTCGCTAGAATGTTTTTAGAAAAATCCGGATTTTCAATGTTTTTGTGCAAAAACTACTGACATAATGTTTGTCTGCGAGGATAGTCTTTTGGTAACAAGGCCTGCACTCGTTATACATGGTAAGATAACGCAAATTTTCCCGTAGGATTCTTTGGACTATGGTTTGCGATAGTCCTACGCGGCTGCCTTATTCCCGAGTCCTATATCTGCATTGATTTCCACGATATTTAAAATTTGTTCCTCCTGCTCTAGAGTAACTTGTCTTTCACGAGTGCGAATATTAGTGGGCTAAACACTTCCTGTGTCTCGAAGTCTTTGGTACACTTGCACAAATGTCCTTCTGTCTGGGTGTACCCGTTGGCGAAATCTGTCGCGATAAATTTGAGCTGCAAGACTTGAATTCTGACGAGCTTCACCGCAAACTAACAACATGTCGGTGAAATCTTGATTCGAGAACATTGTAAAAATAAACACGACGATGTACGCGAACAAAAACAAAACAACATACTAACCACAGTTACCGTTTGCGATCGATTGCCGGTTCGATAAGAGTGATGAAAAACCGACGCGCTGTTGTCATGTGTGTTTTAAATATTCCATTTAATGAAATTTACTTACTTACTGACTACAAATTTTAGCTTAACTTAGAAAAACTTAATGCCACTTATTTGTTAATTACTCAACTTAAAAACGTTTTAGATTAGATTATAAAAATTAGTAAGATTGTGGTGATTGTGGTCGATATAAAGCACTTAAAGTTGTAAACTATAAAGCCATTTAGACAAAAATCTATTGACTTTTAGACCATGGGTCATATGAACTTTTTGACTAGCTTTGACCCTTCTTACCCATTTCAATAATGACTACCATAACGTTTACACCCTGTATATCACCATTCACTAGAAGCAATTATTTGTTTTAAATTCATAAAGTAAGGAAAGTGATTGATACCTGACAATGAATAAGGTCACTTGGTCATGTGTACAGAAATTGTATACATCGCCTATGTTTGGTATATCAATTGTCCACCGGAGTGTGCTAGATATACAGGGTATCCAATAAGTACCACGAAAAACTTAAGGAGAAGGTAGGCTGTGGACTGACCTCCCAAATAACAAAAACTTACTTATATAAAAGTGTCACCGTTTTTGAGATATTGAATTCATTCTTAAATTTTAAAAAAACGAACCTTCTCATCTCTGGTCTTTAGCTGCATGTACAAGGTTATACTTTTTTCATTTTGTTCTATATAATACTTCTAGATAGTTGCTTTATCATAAACAAATGCAATGTAGTTAAAAGATATTGAGGGACCATGATAAAATAAGGGCAGTTTTGGGATGTATAACCGTCTGATATTGTTTCCTCAACTTTCATAAAATCATATCAGGAGCAGGTAATAATAATGTAGCT